ACGGCGGCCAACATTTTTAAAGACTAGATTAGAAGGCACAAGCTTTGTAGAACCAGTTAATTGTAGATTAATGTATATGTTAAGGAATCAGGGCCTGCGAAGACGACTCGAAGACTTTCCGTAAAGTCTGAGATCCGGAATTCGATTCGCTGAAGTTGCTCCGAGCTACGAAGGGGTAGGGTTTTCTTGCTAATAAATCGGCATGACGTGTCTCTGCTCGCGGAAAAGTGCGAGGCCGGAATCGCGACGGGAAGTGCGGACCAGGTAAGTCGTGGCTGTGCGGCAGTGTGGTCCAGGAAGCGGAAGGCCGGCGTTGGAGTGTGCCCGGAAGTTGCGGGCGCGATTGCAACGCCTTGCCGGTTCGGACCGGTGGATTAGGCGCACTTCAGTAGAGCTGCCTATATGACTTTCTCCGTAGCCTCGTTGGCGTCGGATCGACAGTGCGGCTCAAGTCTCGCTTTGGCATCGTTCGGACTGTCGAGGTTTCGCGTCATCGGCGATGAAGGGCTTTTTATTCTTCGGATTTCTCCGTCGTCGAGGTCTCTTCTGAGGCGTCGTGTGTGTGTGTGTGTTTTCTGCGTCACGAAACTTTCTTTGTGGCGGTTGTTCTTCCAAGTTCAGTTTTTTACTTTGACTCAATCCCTCGACGTTTCGAATGTTATTCATTATGTACGAGATTCTGAACAGCCACTTTTCGAAAAAATACGAAATTTTTATTTTTAGATCAGGTAAAACTTTATTCAGCGAAGCAATGTTGTGCGGATCATACGAATAATAACGGATCGTTCCGTTAAGAACTTATCTAGAAAGAAAGAAAGAGATTCAAATCTGATGAGTGACTAAATTTTGCCATGGATTAATTGAATGATTCTATTTGAAAGTGTGAAAGCCCGCAATGCGGTCAGGAAACTTCATTGTTTCAATGCTATTTTTGATTTTGTTCTGCTGGATGAAGTAAAACTTGATTGTACTGGTGATCCTTACAAATAAAACTTTATAATTTTCACGGTGAACATGCTGCCCTTGAAACCAAAAAGCTGATTCAGTATCAGGAAAATACCCATTAGAATGAAATTATGTTTCGTTGTATACGACCTGATAAAATTGGCCGGCAATAGAAACCTCAAGTGGATTGCGCGACAGAGCATTCGAGCTCTTTCTAGAGTCGCTGTTTTTGAGAATTATGGCCTATTAAGAAAATATGATGAAAGTTGATTAAATATTCGCTTCCCGTAAAAAAAATTAGTCCAGGGAAATGTTCGTGCCCAAAGCAACATGACGATAATTGAAAATTTTTTAGGGCGGCCGAAGTCTTCCGTATGCAGAGATTTGATTTTTGGCGCATTTCTTCCAGAAAAAAATACATAGACGGTGTTTCCGCTAACTTTTCGAATTATCACAAATCAATTACCCATATGACATGCTTTTCTTGGAAACGCTTTGCATCCTTATGAGGGGCGTTTCGTCATTCATCGGAATCTTATGTTTTCTCTCATGCTACAAAATTCATAATACTGTACCGTGTATGACCCATTAATTAGCTTTCAACAAGAAGTAACCTGTTTCAAAGTTTTATCAAACACTTCAGCGAATTCGGTGGAAACTGTTGCTATCCATTTGATCTGCATTCGCTATTTTGTGGAAATCCAGTTATGTCTGTACTCCTCAGTCACCGATGTCGACGGCTCTATCGTTCGTATAGCAAATTCAAGCTGAAAGCGTACTCGTAATGGATACCATTGCAAATTTACGAGCACTTGTTTCTTGGAAGTGTTATCGGAAAAAAATATTTTTTAAATCGAAAATTGGTATATTTCCGAGTCCGGAATTTATGAACGCTCATCGCGCAGTCGCCAGAATCACGTTGTGAACTGGAAGCGAATTACCGAAAATCCACGGGTAAATCATAAAATCTCGCAATTAACAGTTTCTCGCAATTATTCGGGATTTCATTCGAAAGGTGCTCTATTTATGGATAACCAGTGTTTTTCCCGAAAATTGCGACGCCGAAAACTATCGATTTGAAAATTATCTGGAAAATTAGCCCAGGATTTTGTTCGTACAATTATGTTTTCTCCAGGAAACTGGAAGCAGTAACTGTTCGTGAAGCTTTTTTTATATTATTTTATCTTATTCTTTATAAAGTATATCGTATTCTTCAGTCACTCTGAGTTCAACGGGGATCAGTTCAAGCGTCGATATTTAATACGTTAGAAAAATTACACGATATGAATTCGGCTTTTATTCGATGTTTTGTACTGGCAGACTCTTGGTGAATTTCTAAAAAAAAAGTTATTGAAAAGCCCTTCTTACGCTGAATCCCCTATGCGGAGCCGTCTTTGAAACAAAAACATGTGGCGGAGCAATTCAAGGGGTTCCACGTGTCTCGAGATTTATTTTTTTGGCCCCGAGCTCATGACTTCAACTACTTCAATCTTTAAATACCGGCGCACAAATCGGTGTCTTTTCTACGAAGCGAACATATGGATTATTAATTTCGAATTTATTTTAATACTGTAGCGGACTTACTGAAGATGTTCAGGAGGAGCGCCTAAGGCAAACTTAGCACAGATGCAGAATTTCTGCTCGATTGTGTCCACACTATGGACTGTATTCTCTATACAGTACTTGATAAAACGGGGTTTTATGGGCCTCGAAAACTTTTCGAAATTCGGACTTGAATAAGAAAGTCCTCTACAGTGGTATTCTTGTACTTCATTCGATATTGTAATTTAATGGATGCCAGTTCAGCAGGTAATCTATCTCTATCATTAAAAAAATGGTCATGGTCCCAGGAGTGTACAGTCTAGCTGCTCCTTTGCTGTAACGCATACTTTTTTTCCCTTGTTACGATTTTCGTGGAAGTAGTCCGCATGGCCGGGATTAGCACTCGCTATCACTCTGGAAAGATATTCTCACTACTCCATAATTTTTATTTTCAAACATATTTATCCCTATGCAGAACCTCTACAAGGTATTCTCCGTATAACGAATTATTTGTTCACCTGAGGGTCTACGTAGAGAGAGTCAAACTGTGTCGCTTGGCTCTGAAAAATGTAATTACAGTATGGTATGTCTGATAGAAAGAAAGCAGATGATGTGCGAGGGTTGTCATTTCATGTGGAAAAAGGGGGAGGTGTACGATGGTGTCCGCTGTAACGAGGCGTTGGCGTAATTTTGAGCGAACTTTCTGCCGTACCCGGACGATAATCCCGGTTCTTGCGATGCATGCTTGGCATCGAGTCTCCACGCGCACGCCTCGGTACAGGTTACTCGGAAAGAATTATTCGGTTCTAGTTACCTGTCTCGTCACTCGTCAAGACGTCCTACTCAAATTACCCGTTGCACATAGTAGTTAGCTCGTGAGCGGGGAGAACAAACGAATATTCGGCAAAAACAATGCCGTGGTGCTTTCCTGATTCTGCGTCTCTGGGGGGGCATTGCTTTCCCGTTTGGACGACGCTTTCGTGCGTCGCCCTTCGCTACTCACGCGTTTTCGCTTTCTGTCCCAGATATACCCAACTTTCGATTTTTTCCGTTTCAGATGAGTCGTCGGGAATGTTTAAATCTTTTTGCATGTGCGGAATGATCAGTCATTCCCCACCGGAATTATTATGAAAATTGGATGGGAAAAGCTTCTAAAAATGATTCGTCATTCAAACTTCGGATGTAAGGACAGCTTGTCCTTTTTTTCGGTAGATAAAAGTGGACGAAGAGAAATCCTTCTAGAAGTTTGGGTTTCGAGTGGTTTTTTGGGGAAAATGAGTTTCATTTTCGGACATAGAGTCGGAAATGCAGTCTGTGATCGCGATACTTGAAGGTTTTTTTTTCTTCATCAGCGTTTGAGATTTGTTCCAAGTTGTTTCTCTGGAAGTGGTCGATGTTGCGGTCATATTTCGATTCGTATTTTTAGAGCGCTTGAGAGTCTTGCTCCAATTTCGAGCCTATGATATTGTTCATGTTGTCTTTTCAGTCTCTGCGTGCGAAGACCTTTTTGTCATGCAGTACTAAAAGAGGCGTCGGTAATCATGATAGTCTCTTCCACGGTGAATTTGATTCAATCGAAGTAATAATTGAAAATTTTCTTGAATTTTAATTAGTATATATGTTTGATCGTCAATTTCGTCGAGGCGGCTGAGAATTGTAGCTGAATTTTTAGTCTCCCTGCGATGAATTTGTTTTTAGTTGGTTGTTCTTCGATTTTGATCAATCCAACATTTGCTGTTGAATTTGGAAGCAGGTGATTATGATGGTTTTTGTTCTCGTCGATCGCCTCCTAATCAACGATCTGTGTTTTAAAATTCGCTTTCGTTTGTTTTGATGAATTTTGTGCTGTGGGAGTTTTGCTTTCCTTCAATTTGCAGCAGCGCAATGCATTAATTACCGTCATATTTGCAAAGTTTAATCTCGTAATTGTTTTTTTTTTATTTCGGCCGTAAATTTAGTCGGAGCAATCGGAGATGCAGCGTTCGAGTTTTCTCTAGCTTGTTCCAACATGAAACCAGGATTTCCTAGCTTTCTTTCCGGTTTTCCTCCCGCTGGTGGCGAAATTCTCACGGTCGTAATATGTCGCGCCGCGCCTTACGCAAGCAGCTTACTTTCGAGACAAGGAAGTTACGGACGAGGAGGAATTCATGGAACATTCGTTTTCCTGGGTCATTATGTATCTCAAGTGGCATTGTTATTCGTAACAGAACTGCGAGCCGGAAGATTTCCCCGCGATTTGCCTTTTATTGCTGCCCGAGCGGGAGAAATTGTCATACTTCTCACGGTGCACTTCCGTCATCCCGGCACTTGTCTTTTCTAGAATAACGGCGACTCGCTGTTGGCGGAAGTTACTACCTCTCGGCGTGTTCTCGTGAATTGAGCAACGAGCGAGCGATTTTCCCCCTCATCTCACTTCCCGATGGTTGTAAAGTTTATTCTTTGACAGTTGTGAAATAATGTCGCTGGGGTGAAACCACGGATCAGTTTTATGCGCTGGTTATCCTTTAGCTGTGATGGGAAGTGATGGCACAAGACGTGGTCAATATTCATTTGCTGTGCTAATCGAAGAAGAGCGGGATACGGAGTCACTGCTTAGAATGCACTCAGTTTGTGTTTGTGGTCGATTACTTCGATCATTCTGGAATAATATCCCTGGGTTGAAGCTGCAGATTCATTTGGTTCGTTAATGTATTTATAGAGGCAACAAAGTGAGTTTTATTTATTTTTTTCCTAAATGAGCGGCGACTTGATCGAGCGCGAAACACTCGCAGTCTTTCGAAGTGCGGGGGAAAAAAATGTTGCGGGATTGCGAATACAGTTTCAAACACGACGATTTTTTTCAGTTTCAATCATGAAAATGCATTCCATAATTTATAATGACCTTTGAATGTGTCGAGCAACAGTTTCTTCCTGAAATATGTCCCCAGCATTCACTTCCCGTAGATCATTTGATCCGTTTAGGCTCGAGTGTGTCTTGCAAGCCTTGCGAAGGTTGAAATGTTTTACTGTATTCGTGTATTTCCTTGGATTTGTGTCTACTAGTCGTTGTGGTCTGAAGTACTGTACATATTTGAAGTGCTGCACAACGAAATTGTTCCGGTAGCTTTTCTACCATTCTTCTGTCGTAAAAAAAAAATCGTCAAAATGATAACGTTCTCACGAACATTTTAACGCGGACTTTCTCGATTTCCATTGCTGATTTCCGGCCGATCAAAATTAAATTGTCATGCAGCATTTCGAAAATTTGTCTGCCCCTAAAACTGTGCTGCAGTAATTATCTACAGGTACACTACGTATTTGTAACTAATGGAAACGTGCAAATGTGGGGTATCTAAAATCTGTTGACCCTTTTTGCTTGTTGGATTTTTCGTATTGTTGGCTAGGTTCACTTTCCCTCCAGTTTGTCATTGACATTAAATTCTGCTCCACTACGTTGTTCGGATGTCATAAGCCCTTTCGTAAGTCGTGTACCTAATTTTTCTGACAAAAATTTTGGTGAAAAAATGCTTTAATGTCAAACCATGGTTATTGTAAACAAAACTACCTTAAATACCAAGTTGAACATGTCGACTGCATTTTGTCCGGTAGAAACTGACAAAATGCGAGAACTCAGATTACAGTGCGAAACTGCTGAAGTTGTAGGGAAAAGAAAGTTCGAATCATTCGATTTGGGGATCATATCGTTCCAATATGTATTTTTTTCAGTCTGAATTTATCTGAAATGCCGTGGGTGTGTCCGACGTTGAACCTGTGCATGACGCACGCTTTTTTATTCGTATTCTTGTTCCAAAAATGCATAATTTTTTTCTACTTATGCACGATTCGTATCTAAATTTGTTTCCAATTTCTGGAGAAAATGGTGTGCGTAATTCGGTAGTAAAAATTTTTTTATTGAAGTTCAGTATTGGTGCACGAGTCCGTAGTGTAGAATGGAATCCCTGGCATATTGTGGAGCAAGTGAGGATACATCTCAGATTCACCAGCCACCTTGTTTTTTTTATGGGCTGAAAAATTAAGGTGCGTCATGGAAGATTCATGGCGTCTTAAATTCCCTGAAATACGGTAGTTGGATTCGGGTGGTGGTACCATACTCCGCGTTGGTGCGGGTAGTTGGTTGAGTTCGAGTTCACGAGGGTGCTTGCCTCGTGATCCGCGTCGCGACGTGTTGTGATTTGCTTGCTTGTGTTCCGAGTGACTTGTTGCATTGAGACGTCGATGACGAAGGCGTTTTCTGACGGGAAGTTTTTCTCCTCTTTTGTTGCGTTCACAGGGACACGGAGGGAATTCCAAGACGGGGGTGGTTCCGATGCCTTGCTCCATGCCGGCTTCGTTGAGCCCGACGCCCGTCAGCAGGCGAAACTCGGGCGCAGGCGGGCCGCGCCAGCAGAGCCAGCAGACGATTGTGGTCGACACTGACGACGACTTCCAGTCGTCTCGGTTCGCCAGCCATCGCCGCCTGGACCGATGCCTGTCTGAACCAACGACATCTGCCGGCGCCAGCAGCCCGACATCTCGTCCGGGGGCTTCGCCGCGCTCTGTCGTTGGAAACAGCAGTCGCTACAAGACTGAACTCTGCCGCGCTTTCGAAGAAACCGGCCATTGCAAGTACGGCGAAAAGTGTCAGTTCGCTCACGGGCATCAGGAGCTCCGCACCGTGCATCGGCACCGCAAGTACAAGACGGAGCTGTGTCGCACGTACCACACCATCGGGTTTTGTCCCTATGGCCCGAGGTGTCACTTCATACATAACGCGGAAGAGGCGCGATCGAAGCCGATTGCTGCCGCGCCGCGTCCCCTATCCATGTCCTCGTCATCGTCCACGACGTCGTCGCCGACGCACAGCGACTCCTTGTCTGGCTCGCCGACCTCGTTTTCTATGTTCTGGGCGACCGGGGATGACGATCATTTGAGGATCGATAGCCCGCCGTCGACCAGCTTCACACACGCTTCTGACCTGGACATCTTCGTGGCTGCTGCAACAGCCGCCGCTGCGGCGGTTGTCAAGCCGACGATGGTTGCTCCGGAGTTTCCCGAGTTTGTTAGTGTGCCGGTGGCGCCGAGACTTCCTGTATTCTCGAGGCTCGCTGGCTCAGACGCGGATCCCGCTGACCGGTGAACGAACGCTGACTCGGGTGCCTCAGAAGGACCAGCCTCACATTCGGATCAGTTTTTGTATTGGTTTTTTTTGTTTTTGTTTTTTTTCGGGAGAAAGAACGAACACGGTCGACACATGCCCTCTCTTCTGTCGACGCATTCTGTCGGACGCGCGGCGGAAATATTCCTGAACATGCATTGTTCCTCACCGGAAGAGTCAAGTCAAGTCTGCTCGGGTCGGTTATTTATTTTAGTGGATTCTGTCGGCTGCAAAGTGTATCATGTGCTTCGGAATCTGGTGTGTGATTTTCTCGGTTTTCCACAGAAAAAAAAAAAGCGGAGATATTTTCGTCGAATATCAGTTTCAGGAGGAACAAGGCGTGTGAAGGTGGTACCCCTTTTTTGAATTGTGTCGATCGAATTACGTTGTGAACGAATGGACGGCTTCTCTAGACTTTTATTTCGGGAAACGGAACCTTCGGTTTTTGCCAACATTTTGGATTTTTTTTCATGTGAAACTGTTCTCTGAGATGCACTCGGCTGTTGAGTGAGGGTGTGATGAGCAGTGTCTGAAACGCAGGTTTGCTTTTGGCCGAGAAATACGTATAGAAAGCGTGTCAGCTGGAGCGCGACTGTCGTAGCCTTCGTTTATTTGTCTGCTGGAATCGGGATTTTTTGCCAATTCATTCGGGAAATACCGCATTTACGCGATTATAGGCCGCATCCTGATGCTTGTTGCTGATAGGAAAGAAAGAAAAATGTAAAACTCCTCCGATCAACGGAATCTTCAATTATCTGAAAGGTTTTCCCCCCTCCTCTTATTTAATGGACTACGCTCGTTCAAATCCAAGATTTTAGAATCCCATCGAAATTTCATGGCATTTTGCCTCGGATTGTAACCGATCTTCAGAGCGAGCGTTACGTATTTTTCCACCTCGGATAATTGAAATTACTCTGTTTCACGTTAAAATAGTCTCCTTGTGCTGTGTATGTGTTGAACTCCTCTGGGTCTTCATTAGTATATACTGGGCAGCAAAAAAAATGAATGAAAATACGATCTATACGGCTGCAGTTACCGCCGAATTTTTAGAATAATATATTTTTTATTTATTATATGATTTAGAGTGTAAGCTAAGCTCCAAAACACACAACAGCTCAAGTGCAGCCTACGCGAGTTATAAGTTCATACATTACGTTAAAAATTTTCGAACGATCTAATCAACCGACATGGAAATAAGAGTGCGGCTTATAATTGAGTAAACACGATAGTTGATCTAATCCTTGATTGCACCCTATTATTGAGCCGCTCCGCGGTGAACGACGGTGGTGTTGGCTGGATGGGTTAGTGTCGGTGGAAAAGGAATCGGGAAATTTGTCGGGGATTCCCGGCGACGAGTCAAATCACGAAAGCCCTTGTTTACATTGTTTTTTTCCGTCTTGTACGTGTTTTCATGTCGGTACGTTTAATGCGGTTTTTTTCATTAAGTGGAGGGCATGAGTGGGAGAATGGGGGTGTGTTTTGACGGGTTTTTGGACGCCTTCATGTCATTTTTTCCTGACTTTTTTTTTTCGTTCTGACCATTTACCCCGAGATTTCACTTGTCTATTCTTGCTATTTATTGTTTCCGCGGGCGTTCCTCGCTCTGCGAAGCATAGAACTTGCCGTGTACATTGAATGCATTTCCTCTTTGCGCCGATCTTGTTTCGATTCAACTTGACTGTTAGACTGAAAGAATTATTTATGAAAGATTCACGACCTGTCGAGTGTACGCGCGTTTTATGTTTTTTTTTTTAGGGAGACGCATTCACGGATTTTCCTGCGCGGTTAATTTAAAAGAGGAGTAAGAGATATTTGGGTGAGATGAAAAAGCGAGTTTTTCCTCGACCTTCGATTTTTTCATTTTAATAAGGTGTAGTCCGTTTCTGGAACTTACGCTCTCGTGGCTGCGGAGGACGGAATCGAGATTAAACGTCACATTACCCGAAGTCGTGTTGCTGTTTTTCTGGAAGATTTTGATATTGAGTATGTACGTGCGTATGTTGTCATGGCACCACTTCCTCTGTGACTGGATGGTTTATCGCCGAGTTCTGGACGAATCCGGAGCTTTTTGGCCAATGGTAGAGTATCACTGATGGTGTGAGGGCCATTTGCCGGATGGTATACGGGATTGACCATGAAAAAATGTAGGACTCGTGTGTTGGACGTGGACTCAATTTCACCGCTTCAACTCCGTATGAAAATGAACGTGGAAGTACAGTATCTTGGTGAAAATGATCGATCAAATAAAACAACACAAATCAATTTTTTCGAGGAATGAACCACCGTGGTTGAGTTGAGGGGTATAGAATTGTACAGTACCTATACAAATTACTCATATACAGTACTACGTGCCTCCAATTAAGATGCGAACCTCGATTTTGGAGAGGAAAATTTGATTAAAATGTATCATACGTAAGGTGCGTACCCTAGTTTTTAGTGATCAGTATTAAATATTAAAATCCGCAGTAATCACAAATTTAAATATTGGATTGCTTAAAAGTTGGAAATATTAAACAAAGCCTGATAGAAAGCAAGTCAAGTTGTCTCTTCGAGCTTGGAAATTATCGTATTTTACCCTTTTTGCGTTTTTGAATTTATTCTGTGATTCCAGAATGTGTTGGAGGCACCAACATTCCAGAATTAGTTGAGGATTTGCACTTGAAACGCACAACACATTTTTGGGAATAGCTTTCAAGGAAAAATTTGTGTGGTACTACTGGTACTTGAGTGAATACAGTATTCCATTCCTTTTTTAGGTCTGCTGAAAAAATTACGAATCTGTATTTAAGGGCTGATGCGAGGCAGTTTCTTGGAAACAAAAGTTGTTTTTGAAGTCTTAGGTGCGGCTATTTGAATAAAAGAATATGTTTTTCATGAAGGCTCATTTGCATTCCCTCATCATCTCAGAGCTGTTCAGATTTTTCTCTGTCAATGTGTTATCGCTAATGGACGTGCAAGGCTTCACCCGCATGAAGGTACAGTACTGTACTTGCTGAGGTAAGGAGGACGCACTTCAAATTCAACCTGAATGTGCGACATTTCTTCCGTCAAAGGCAGGCTTGATCTTTAATATTGCTAGAAATTTGAGGTACTGTATTATAATTTAGTCGACGTGAAATGGACTCACAAGTAGACATTTAAATGGAAATGAGATTTACTAATTATTTCTTGATTTGTAAACATTCGAAACTTTTTCTTCAACGGGAATCATCTCCGGTCTGATCCAATAAGAAATCCATGTTTCCCTCATTTTGGCATTAAACCCATACTTTTGCTCATTTGGCATTTTGATTTCGCATGGGCAAATTTACTCTTATGCTTAGAACGCATACGGAACTATTAATGCGAAAAAACTTTTCGTCGAAATTTCTTCGAATCAGAATAGAATTTTCCGGCATTCACAGTTCGGAATTTTCTATGGATTTTTTCAGCTTTCTCAAAATGTACGCTTCTTTGAATAAACGTTGTCAACATACTGTAATATTGTAAATAGAATATGAGAAAAGATTTAGAAGCAATTGCTTTGAATTTATATTTAAGCCTAAAATTAGTTACAGTAGATATTCATTTTATTTTAATGAGCATAAACTAAAGAAATCTTCCAAAATATCATCTGCCTGTATTAGTGAAGGAAATGCGTGCCAAAACATTATTTCAGAGGCCTTTAATTGCTGAATACCTTACATTACTTCTGTTGCGATGCTTCGTGTTCGTTTTCTTTTTTGCATTTTTTTCTTCCGAATTTTAGCAAGTCTTCATTGTCTTGTTTCGGGACATGCTCAATAATCCACGTGTCCACCTGACAACGTTTTGGCATGTTCTTCGTCGAGTAGTTTAGCTTTTCCAAGCGAACCGGGCGATTGATGTGGTGTCCTTGTTCGAGGTCAGTTGCTTCTTCGTGAGTGAAGGCCGTCCACCAGGAACTGGGAAGTTTTCCGGGAACAATAACCCAGTAAAGGGGATTTTCGTTTTTCGGCGAAGCAAATCGACGCAGAAATCTGAAAAGGTGGTGCAAGTCTGGATGAGTTGGAATTTCACTAATTGTCTCTCGTGACGCGGTCGGAAGGATGTGTTAGTTGGACTGTGAACAATTACCCATCGAATCTCTTCGTTTCCTCATAACGTACAGTATTTCAGCTTCGCGTCCAGCACAAGGATATTCGCATTCATTGAAAGGCACCGCGAATTTTTTTATTCATCACTTCAAATATAGTTCAAGGGTGCAATTTTAATGCAATAAATGCATTGTCACGTACATTACAGCTTGTGCAGATGCGCTTCCGTAGTTTAATTTTTCGAAAGCAACGTCTCGAAAAATCGGTCTCGAGTTGCCTGAGACGTTTTCCTTTCGGCCTGCACGTTCGAGTGATTGGACGGTGAATACTCAAAAGCATAATTTGTGACTCAATTTTACCTAAAATAAGTTACTCAGAGAAAGCTGCTCATCGAATCGAATTTTGTTCGGACTCATTTACTTCACATCATTTGATCAATATATGAACACATTTGAATGCCTGCTCGGGTATGATCTCTAGACTTCACTCTATACTTGACTAAACTTACTGAATAAAATCATTAGAAAATATTTCCGCTTTCTTTTTAAAGTTCTTCACGATTTTCATTCAATATCTTTTTAATGCTGCGAGCAGTGAGCAAAGTTTCAAAATCGCTGTCTCTCGACAGGCAGTGGGAGCGAAGTTATGATGTTTGTGGTCTGTAAAACAGCAGAAAAACCACCACAAACTTTTTTTTGGCGATGAATGTCAAAATTCGTTAAAAGAAAATTTTATTGCTTTGGATCTACCATATGTTTCCTACTGGGACATTCGAAAAAATTTAATTTCGTCGTAAATAAGCTAGTGAACCATGGGATGAAAGAATTTTACCCTCAATTTCTTGAACCCATCCATGCAATGGTTTTTATAATACATTACTGTTTATTGAGTTCCCCACAAAAGATAAATCCGCATTACTAATTTTTGGGAAGGGGGATATGACTCACAATTATACAAAGTTATTTTACATAATTCTGTTGGCCCATGAATTTCAACATGATTTCAACTTGAACGTGAGAATTATCACAAAAAAAGGAAAAAAAATCAAAGTTTTACTGTTAATTTTTATTTTATCTGGGAAATTGATAAATTTATGAGCGGGAGCTGTCAGGATCTAACTTCAGTTTCATGCTAAACAATTCATATTGAATTCACAACTTCCTACTAAAAATACTGTATAAAGATTTTATGGTCTATGACGGTCTTTTTGGTTAGCGGCTGGAAGAATGTAAATCAATTACAATGTAATATTAAGACAAAACCCGTATCTTAAATCTAAAATTCGGCACAA